TGTATCTTCCCATGTTGAGTCATGCTCCATCAGCAAATGAAAGTGTCGAAAGCTTTACCCCATCCATGTCATTAAGGTCAACTTTGCTTTGAGGAGGCAGCTCTTTGCCAGTCGTATTTTGAGTGCCTTCTGACCTGAGGGGCTCATCTTCCGGCACTGTATCAGACAGTGTTTCAGGGCTATTTGTAAGGTTTTCACTGGCCAATTCTTTGAGAAGTGGATAGCCCCTTCCTTCTTCCAAGTCTGTCTTAGTCTGGAAGTTCCACTGAAACCTGCCCACCATGGGTGACCCTGATGGTATTTGAAACAACAGTGGGATAACTTCCAGCTTCACAGCAATACACAAGCCACCACAGTATGACAAACTGACAGACGAGTGGTAGAAAATTGGAAGTTGTCAAAAATGAAATGGAATGCATAAAGATCAATGTCCAGGTCTTTAGTGACTTGAAATGGACTGGTATTGGCCTTTTTAACCAGACAATCATATGCTCTACTGTGCCAGGAATGTCAAATTGAAGAAGAATGATGTCATATTCATAGTCACAAAGAATGTTTCAAGATCTATCCTGAAGTACAGTGTTGTCAGTGATAGGATAATATCCATATACCTATGAAGAAGATCAGTTAATTTTTCTATTATTCAGATTTACTCACCAACCACTAAAGCCAAAGACCTGGCCAGGTGATAGGAAGAAATCCATATTTAGACCCATTCCAAGGAAAGGTGATTCAACAGGATGTGGAAATTATTGAACAATATCATTAATATCACATGCAAATAAAACTTTGCTGGAGATAATTAAAAAATGGTTGCAGCATTATATTGATAGGGAACTTCCAGAAATGCAAGCTGATTTCAGAAGAGATCATGGAATGAGGGATATCATTGCTAATGTCAGAAGGATCTTGGCTAAAAACAAAGAATACTAGAAATATGTTTACTTGTGTTTTATTGATTATGCAAAAGCATTTGATTGCATGGATCATATCAAATTATGGATAACATTGTGAAGAAAGAGAATTCCATAGCACTTAATTGTGCTCATGAAGAACCTGCACATGGACCAGGAGGCTGTCTCGAACAGAACAAGGTGCTATTGTGTGCTTTAAAATTAGGAAGGGTGTGTGTCACCATTGTACCCTCTCACCATACTTAATCAATATGAATGCTGAGCAGATAATCCAAGAGGCTGGACTATATGAAAAACGTGGCATCAGGATTGGAAGAAGACTCATTGGACAACCTGTAATATGCATATGAGATAGCTTTGCTAGCTGAAAGTGAAGATGACTTGAAGCACTTACTAATGAATATTAAAGGCTGCAGTCTGCAGTACGAATTATACCTCAACATAAAGAAAATGAAAATCCTCGCAAATGGACCAGTAAGCAACATTATGATAAATGGATAAAAGATTGAAGTTGTCAAAGATTTCATATTACTTAGATCCACAATCAACACCCATGGACGCAGCAGTCAGGAAATCAGATGTCATATTGAATTGGGAAAATCTACTGCAAAAGTTCTCTTTAAACTGATGAAGAGCAAAGATGTTTCCTTGAAGACTAAGGTGCATCTAACCCAAGGCATGGTATTTTCACTGGCCTCATATACATGTCAAAGGTGGACAATGAATAAAGAAGATGGAAGTGTTGATGGTTTTGGGTTGTAGTGTTGGCGAAGAATACTGAAAGTAACATGGACTGAGAGAAGAACTAACAAATGTGTCCTGGAAGAAGTGCAGCTGGAATGCTTCTTGGAAATGAGAATGGCTAGACTTCGTCTTACCTACTTGGGTCATGTTTTCAGAAGGGACCATTCCCTGGAGAAGGATATCATGCTTAGTAAAGTAGAGGGTCAGTGAAAAAGGGGAAGACCTTCAAGGAGATTGATTGACAGTGGCTGCACTGATGGGTTCAGGTGTAGCAGGATTGTGAGAATGACATATGACCGAGCAGTGTTTTGTTCTGTTGTACATAGGGTCGCTATGAGTTAGAGCCAACTTGATGGCACCTAAGGATAACAACAACAGCAAGCTATCCAATTCCCTTTGCAGGCCACAAGCACCTTACATTTGCATAGTTCTAGGAGCTCTGGTAGGAGCTCTGGTAGCATAGTGCTTAAGGCACTTGACTGCTAACCAGAAGGCTGGCGGTTCAAACCCACCAGCCACTCCTCGGAAGGAAGGTTGGGCAATCCTACTTCCGCGGTGATACTGCCTCGGAAACCCAAGGAGGGGTCGCTATGAGTCGGGGCCGACTCGACGGCAAATAACAACAACAACAACACAGGAGCTCTGGTAGTGTAGTGCCTAAGGCACTTGACTGCTAACCAGAAGGCTGGCATTCAAACCCACAAGCCACTCCTCAGAAGGAAGGTTGGGCAATCTACTTCCGTAGTGATACTGCCTTGGAAACCCAACAAGGGGGTCACTATGAGTTGGGTCCGACTTGATGGCAACTAACAACCACCACCACCTGGTCATCTGGTGGGGGCCACAAAGACCATGGCTAGAAGAGCTATAGTCCCTCAGTGCCTCTGGGATAGCTCATCTTAAGCCTAGCTGTTGACAAAACTGACCAATCCCCCCATTATGGTACCATACACCTTATTTGCATAGTCCCACCTGCTCATGGGTGCTGTGTACCTTATTTACACCATTAACAAGCTGTCCGATCCCCTTGGTGGGCCACAAGCACCTTGCATTTGCATAGTTCCACCCAGTTATCCTGTGGGAATCACAAAGACCATGGCTAGAAGAGCCATACTAAGTCATTCACTGCACTGTATGGTGGATTCATTGTATTTCCAAGGTACGCTCAGGTCTGAGGGGCAGTAACTGGGTAGTTGCCACAAGGCTAGGATCATCTGGAGAAAAGTGGCAGCTGTTTTGCAAGTTGATGAGGTTTTCTTTTTCATGGAGTGGAAAATACTATTGTTGAAGGAGTATTAAACTTTGAAACTATTTTTGCAAATTGTGTTCTTAGCTTTTTTTTTTTTTAATCGAGGGAAGCCTTTCTTTGATTTTCTTCTTGATTTTTATAAGTTTTTGATATGTTAAGGAAAGTCTCTCACTCACTTGTGTAAGTTGGAGCAAAACCAGAATTATTCTGAGGAGAAGTTTTGACTTGCGCAAGGGTAAGGGAGGCAAGCCGTCTGTTGAGTTGTGTATCCTACTCAGTGTCTTTGTTTTAACTTAAGCAAGAGATTGAAGATATCACTGCAGCTCAGCTGATTGTAAAATCTCAGGGACTAGCCTTAATTGGCTTTGAAGAGTAGCTCCTGTGAGGCATTTGTCAGCATGTTTAACGTCTATGTCTTGGCCACTTGTTTGAGTCTGAGTTCCTTGAAAGCTTTGCTGCTTGGCCTTTTTCCATCCAGCTTTCTGGTTTTGTTATTTTGTTTTATCCTCAGATTGAGACAGGTCAATTGAGAAGTGCGGTCATAGACCACCTAGTGCTGGCACATCCACTCTCCACACACACACACACACACACACACACACACACACCCAACACACACACATTTTGCAATACAGAATAAAGCTGTAAGAAATAATCCTGTGAAATTTCCAATCATTTTCTTTATATAAATGTTTTTGAAGACAAAGGAAATTTTCTTTAAGTTTTATTACCAAAAATAGCTGTGATTCTCCTGGTTTATCTTAGGGACACTGTGAATCATGGAATCAGTGCTTTGTACTTGGTTTTAGCTTTGAAAAATCTTGGGGACAGATCTGTAATCCTCCTCCAGTGAGCACTCAGGACCTTAGGGCATCCATTTTTGGTGTTCTTACTCCAGCTGCATTTTATTATTTTTTTCTATGTTTAATTCCCCTTTGGCCCCCAGATTACTTCTTTTTAAAATCTTGAAAATGAGGCAAGATATAAAGAACTTAAACAAATTAAAATCTTAATGATTTACCGTTTGCTGCAAAAATCTTACCAATTAGTTTTTAAATTTTATTTTACATTTCTTATTCTTTGTGTAATTAGATCTCTTAGTTCTTTGTGATTTTTATGAAGAAAATTGTTGATGTGTCTGAGACCCTTTGGCTGCGACAAGTTCACCCCATCAATTAACAGGGCTGAAAATTGTGCTGAGAGCTTAGAAGAAGCAGAGGTTGTTCTGACCCTCTTACTTCTCCAGGAGCCCAGTGTTTTGTGTTGCATTAAGATTCCATTTCAACCTACCCGCTGCCATTGAGTTGAATCCGACTCATATACCCTATAGGACAGAGTAGAATGGCTCCATAGGGTTTCCAAGGCTATAAATCTTTAAAGCATAGCAAGGATTGTGAGGATGGCACAGGACCGTGCAGTGTGTCGTTTTGTTGTGCGCAGGGTTGCTATGAGTTGGAGCCGACTCAGCAGCACCTAACAACAACAACAAAACAAAGCAGACTGCCTCATCTTTCTCCCACAGAGTGGCTGGTGAGATCAAACTGCCAACCTTCTGGTTAGCAGCTGAATGCTTTTACCACACTACCAGAGGGCCTTAAGATTCTATTTTTAAGTACCCCATTTATGCAGGAAAGCAATTATATACTAGCCTAGGACTAGTTGCCCGGAAAGGCCTGGGAAACAACTGATGTTGAAGCTGGTCCTTCACATAGTAGGCATTCAGTAAGTGTTTCATGACTTAAATTTAGTTGTGGCTTACATATTTGCTTCACTTTTTGAAGTGGTGGGGTTGTGTTATCTTCCAACTGCAGTGGTCTTTGTAGTCTAGGTCTGTTGTTTATTGTTGTTGTGTGCTGTCCAGTTGGACCCAACTCATAGCGACCCCTCCTTGAGTTTCCGAGGCTGTATCACTACAGAAGTAGATTGCCGACCTTCCTTCTGAGGAGTGGCTGGTGGGTTTGAACCGCTAGCCTTCTGGTTAGCAGTCAAATGCCTTAGGCACTATGCCACCAGAGCTCCTAGGGAGTGCAATCTGCTAAGGTCAGCAGTGGCTTGACTTCAGTGACATTTTCTGCTTTTCTTTTCTTTTTCAGAGTATGACCGGCTAGGCTTTCTCCTGAAGCTGGACTCTAAACTGTGAGTAGAATGAGAAAGTGTCTTGACTCTGTCGCAGAGCAGTCTGGTGTGTGAGAGCTGACGGCTTACTTTGAAGGGTCAGCTCTCATGGCCCATGTAGTTGTTGGGGGATCCCTGGGGCCTTCGTTCTCAGTTTGTTAGCAGAATCTTTGAGCATGTTACAGTGTGTAGGGCCTGGAGAGGATGGGATGTGCAGACAAACAGAAGGCCATAGATTTTGCTGGCATAGACAGCTCATTACAGAAGAGGCCCACTGACAGGCGTTTGAGAGATAGGGAGACTCCTGGAAAGGCTTCTGGCTACAGAGGAGGCTGGCTGGGTCACAGAGGCAACATGGCCTCTCAAAGATGCTCTGCATCCTGGCAGGCAAACCCTTCTGTGATCTGGTCTCTGCCTTCCTCTCCATCCTCAACTCCTGTCAGTCTCCCACAGTTCAGCCTTTCTTTTCCCTAAACCTTTGCATGGGCTGTTACCCATGCCTGAAATTCCCTTTCCTTACTGGTCCACTTGGAAAACTTGCAAGTGGAGTTTTAAGGCCAAACTCATAGACTATTTCCTTCCTACACAAAGCTAATTATCTTTTTTTCTGTGCTTCTTTAAATTTTCTTCTGTCACCAGTTCTCTCATTATAGTATACTCACCCATGTATTAAGTATTAATTTATTAAGAGCACAGGCTTGGAGCAAGGCAAACCGGAAAAAACCAAACTCACTGCCATAGCGTCGATTCCAACTCAAAGTGACCCCCTTTGGGTTTCTAAGCCAGTAAATCTTTATGGAAGTAGATTGCCTAGTCTTCCTTCCATCGAGTGGCTAGTGGGTTTGAGCCACCAAACTTCTGGTTAGCAGTCAGATCCCTTAGGCACTACGCCAATGTTGGTCCCAATCTCAGATTGCTGTTTACTCTCTTTGTGACTTTGGATAAGCTACTTAACCACTCTGGAGCCTCAGTTTCATTTGTAAGATGGAGACAATATATACACCTCCCAGGGTCAAAAAACAAACAAACAAACAAAACTTACTGTAATTGAGTTAATTCTGTCTCCTAGCAACTCCCATTGGGTTTCCAAGGCTGTAAATCTTTACGGAAGCAGACTGCCTCATCTTTGTTCCACAGAGCGGCTGGTGGGTTCAAACCACCAACCTTTTGTTAGTAGCCAAATGCCTTAACCACTGCACCACCAGAGCTCCTTCATCCCAGGGTCTTCCTCTCAGAGAAATGGTAAGGAAATGAAATGGTTAATTCCTAGGAGATTTTCAAGGGTATATGATCCTTCCAAGATCTTTGCCCTGTTGTGCCTTTTCATTTCTCTCTAACTAGACAGTACTGGCATATGCACTGTGCACTCCTGTATGTTGTTAGTCATATATGTACACCTGTGTCCCTTGTCCTGTACGAGACAGATGTCTTGGAAGATCCAAATTGTGTCTTTTTCCTTTATGCAAAAACCAGCATTCCGTAGGTCTTGATGACAGCTTCTGATGGTGATAGTCTCACATACATACAAGATGTCAAACCAGGGGTTTCCCCGCTGAATTGTCTGGCATGTTGTTGTCTGTTATCAAGTTGATTTCAACTCATAGCAGCACTACAGGACACAGTAGAACTGTCCCATACACTTGCCAAAGCTGTAATCTTTATGGAAGCAGGCTGCCACATCTTTCTCCCATGGAGCAGCTGCTAGGTTCAAAGCACTGACTTCTGATTACCAGCCGAGCACATTAGCTACTGGACTATAGTTCTTCAGTGTCTGGTATATGGACCCCTTTTCTAGAATCTGGTATCTTGGCTCTGGTGCCTTATACTATGAATTCTAACATGGTAACTCCCCTAATTTTTGTACATCTTTGAGACAACTGCAAAGGAAACATAATCTCTCTTTATACCAAACTAATGGAGAAATATTAGCCAAATGTTTACACTTGGGAAATGGAGGTTAATTGTTCTAGAAAGCCACAGGCTTCACTCCTACAAAGTGTTTAATTTAGTATTTTTATTATTTTTTTTTTTCAGTCTTTTTATTCTTATTGTGATTTGGGTGAAAGTTTACAGAGCGAATTCACTTTCCATACAGCAGTTCACACACACGTTGTCTCATGACATTGACTACAATTTACCCCACTGCAACAGCTCCCCTCCCACTTCCTCCCAGTAGTTACCTCTTCCCTGTGTCCATCCCTCCATGCACTCCTGCCCCCTGAGCTGTCTTCCTGTACATAAGCAGCCCTTCTTTCTCCCAAGATTGTTCTCTCCAAGGAGTGTATCTACCTCAGGTAAATGTTCAACTCATATGCCTGTCTTTTGTTTGGCTGG